CACAAACTATCCAAGATACAGCTTCATCTCTTTTTTTTTTTTTAAGAAGCATAGCTTTAAAAATAGTATAGATGTGTCCTTGTTTGTTTTGTTTTTTATTGATGAATACTTACTTTCTACTTTTCTATCAGAATATCTTGTGATATAATCACAAATGTACTCTTAGGAACACAACTCAATTTTTCTTGTGTGTGTAGTACTAGTGTTCAAACTTAGGGCTGCTGTTGGAGTTACATCCTCAGCCTTCACTTAAAATTTTGATAGATAGTATTAAATAGTTATCCTGAAATACCTTTACAACATGTATTCCCATCCACTGTGTGTGAGACTATTTGTGTATTTCTGATTACTAGTGATGTTGAGCACTTCTTATAGTTCATAGCCTTTTCGATTTCTTGTTCTATGAATTGCCAGCTCATATATCTTGCTCTTGGAATGCTGATTGTTAGTCTTTTTCTACCTCTATTTTCCAAGGCCCCATCCTCCTCTGTAAAGACTTCTCCATTTCCTCTAAGCAGCCAGCTGTGCCCTCCTCTGCTGTCCTAAAACGTTATTCATGCTGAACCCAGGTTTTCATTTGTCAGTTATCCCATACTGAATTCACTTATTTAACAAATGTCTATTTTGACCCCACTATGTGCCTGACCTTAGCCTAGCTGCTGGTTGGAAATACATTACAGGTTCCATGATGAAGCTTATTTTTGAAATGTACCTTAGAGCATAGAAAGAGCATAGTTTTGGAGTCACACAAGACTTGATTTAAATCCCAGCTATACAATGTACTTAGCCTCTTCAATACTCAATTTCTGTAGTAGGGAAATGAGGTTAATATCTTTCTTATAGAGTCATTTTGAGGCTGGGTGAGAGACACTATATCTGAAGAGGCTAGTGAAAGCCTGTTAAATACACTAGGCAGTCAATGAATGGCAATTGAAACCCAACTGTAAGTGGTCAAAATGATTAGTTTTAGGACCTGTTAACACATTGAAAAAAAAGGCAGCTCCTCTCTTTTTCTACTGAAGTTTGAGGCCAGCCTGAGAAGGATAAACATGAGTAATATGCTCCACTCATTCAAATCGTACTATAATCTATCTCCTACTTTGCCTGCCCCCTGCAGCTGGTTTCTGCTTTGTTCTGGCCCCTTATCCTAATTTAGCTGCTCACTATTAATGCAGAGCTGCCACTGCTACAGCCACTGCCTTGGGGTAGAACAGATTGTTCCCTCCTCAAATAAATGGTATCTTTAGAATATTTTCTGTAAAAGAGGCTTTAAGGGTACTTGTACATGCTGCTACTTATGATTTTGAGAAGTGGGGATCAGAAAAAACTTGGAGTAGAAGGGAGAACTGCTGTATGTATGTGTTTGTGTGTATATGTGTGTATATGTGTGTGTGTAGTTGAGGCATGTCTCCAACTAATCAGACCTGGATTACAGATATAGCTCTGCCTCTTCTAGGTGACTCTCAGCTAATTTCTTCCTTCAAAACTTTAGTCACTGGAATAAGCCTGGATCACATGATTTCTAAAGAGCTTCTAAATGAGAAATTACTATGTGAAGACTTGGGGTGTGTGTACATATGCTACTGTCCTTAATTAGAAATCCCTGTATTCTTGGACTTTTACAGTTCTTTAATTCCATCCTAATATCATGTGGTACCGTACTGCATTCCAGTTATTTGGGATCATGACATGGCTTTCCCCTGAACTGACAGTTGGATCCAATTCTACTTCTTGCTTCTTAAAGTGGAACTGAGTGCTCTGCTGTCTGCCAGACACTGTATCAGGCAGTAAATAAACAAAGATCAAAGCAGAATTTGTCTTCAGGGAATTTCACAGTGTAGCTGAACACAACTGTAGAACTAATATAATGTAATTGCCTTGATGGAGGTTTGTCCATACTATAGAGAGTCCTGGGGAAGGAATGTCTATTTCATCTGGCTGACTGGAAGGTTTCCTTTAAGATCACAGATTTCAGCAGAGTGGGCTGAGTGGGAGAACCTCACAAAGAAAGAGGGCTCTTTATAGGTAATGGGAGTGTTATCTGTAAAGACATAGATGCGGGAGAGCATAGTATGCTGGCACCTATGTAGGCATTAGAATGTCAGTGAACAGACAGGCATATGTCAGCTCAAGAAGAACCATTTATGCCATCTAAAGGACTTTATGTTTTATGACAACCTGAAAGAGCTGACTGAAGCATTTTGTGGTGGGGTAGCAATACATCTTTGTTGAACACATGATAGTGAGAAGATGAGGCAGAATAATTAATTTCCTAAACTTACGGCTTTTAGCAATTTATTTAACCTGTTTTCTTTCTTTTGTGTGTGGTGTGTGAAGTGATAATTAAACAAAAAAAGCAACCTAGTTGGATGTGATGGCATATACCTATAATCCCAGCACACTGGAGGCTTTGATTGCAGCAAATTTGAGGACTGCAGCAAATTTGAGGCCAACCTGGACTACATAGTGAGTTCAAGTCCAGCCTGAACTACATAGAAAGACTTTCTCCGAAAAACCCAACCAACCAAAAAAACTCTTAAAGTGTCATTGATATTTGAGAGATTGTATTGTACTACACCAAAAGGACTTAGCCTGTCACTTGATAAATATTTAATTAAACAAAAGTTAACATTTATTTTATTTATTACCTGAACAAACTGTCACCAGATGGGGTCTCATGAAGTCTTCCCAAAGAGGAGACTGGCACATCATCTGGCCCCAGAGTAGGATCATGACTCATCATTGGAGAAAGAGAACTTTGGTATGCATCAGTGAGAGGCATTGGCAGATTTATTAGGCAGAGTTAGAAAGTAAGAAAAAAAAAATAGGGAAAGGACTTCAGCTTGAGGAAGTGGGCACAGCTCTATAGGTTTAGACTGGACTATCAACAAAAGAAAAAGATCAGTACCCCAACCAGTGGGATGGCTAAACCCGGGTCATTCACAGAGCTTTATTCTTAGCTCTTTTTTTTTTTGTTTTTTTGTTTTTTTCTCCGGTACCGGGAACCGAACTCACGACCTTGCGCTTGCCAGGCAGGCGCTTTTGCTGCTGAGCTAAATCCCCAGCCCCTCTTAGCTCTTTTTTATATTTGAGACAAGGTCTCAGTAAATTGCTCAGATTGGGCTCAAACTTGAGATCCTCCTGCCTCAGCCTCCCAGAATGCCCGGAAACCTTTATGGATTAGGCAAAGTAGGTTAGGGGCTGGTTGATCATTATCTTATCTCTGGGAGAAGATATGACTCTGGGGTCCCTTAAGCTCTGGGGAAGTCCTTATTTGCTTGAGGGGGAAAGTCTGTGTACATGAAAGGATTATCATTGGTGGGGCTCAATACTGTGGTAGGCTCTGCTAAATACAGCGGTGACTGGATACTTTGCATCAGCAGATGAACTTCTCTGTAAATTTATGTTGGTGTCCGCAGTCATTAAGTGCGATGAGATAGGTTATGTAAATTTAAAACTAATAAATTTTGTACTGCCCGCTTTCAGACAGCCTTCTCTAAATGATTAACATGACTATGTGTAGAGCTAACCAGGTATCTAACCCAACGTTTTAAGGTAGTAAAGGAGAGTGCCACAAGATGAAGGCGAAGTTTTGTTCTACTTTTAGGTGCCTACTAAGTATCTGTAGACCCAAAGGAAGGGTCACTGTTTTTTTTAGCAAAAGGACTTTGAAGTCCTGGACTGCCTCAAAAGAAAACAAATTATGCTCTTAATGAATACGTAACAGGTTAAGGATGGAGGAGTTTGTAGTCTGTCCCTATAGAGGGCTGTGTCAAAACAACCCAGAAATCTGTTACCCATTTCTATTCCTGTATCTTTTATTTGTAAAACGGGTTTTCCAATTTTGCCTTTTTATAGTACCTTGAGTTTTCCCTTTCTAGCACTTGCCATAATGTTGATCAAATTTACTAATTATATTTCTGGTTAAATTTACACTACAATCAAACTATATTGTCTTTCCTGCCGAACTCTCAGCTCTATGAGATCAATGACCTTTACGATTTTACTACATATCTACATTTCCTCATACAGCTTGTCTCTTAACAGATGTTCAGTAAATGTTGGTGAAAAGAAAAAAATAAAGTTAAGTTGACCTTTTAGGACTGTTGTCAGAAGCCAAACAATTAGTAAAATGTTATTTGTAAAATTGCACAGATGGGTTTACTACGATTAAATATTTTTTTTTTTTTGGTTTTTCTCCGGTACCGGGAACCGAACTCACGACCTTGCGCATGCCAGGCAGGCGCTTTTGCCACTGAGCTAAATCCCCAGCCCCGATTAAATATTTTTTAAAGTGTGAGAAAGGAAACTAAAGCCAGAGGCCCCCAGCACGATCTAGATGCTTTCGGGAGCTTCCAAATGATCAGTAGTCATTCCATTAACTGGTATGCAACTCTTCCATGTTCACAAAGGGTTAATCTGCTGCCTCCTATTCAGGGAAAGACGGAAGCGCCCCGGTGAAAGCTAAGTTCAATTCTAACCTACAAAGTAGAAAAGACCACCGAAGTCACCCACCAACATGGGCGAAGACACTAAACGCCAGGAGCTCTCAACAGGGCTTTTTCCCTGGCTGGAGTCCCCCGGCTCCCTCATCCAAGTCGCCGCGGTAACAGTCCTCGTCGCGACCGAGCATGCACGCGGCACCGGGTAGATGTCCCCGGAGCGCACGGGAGGAGGAAGCAGAGCCTGTCCTGAACCCGCCCTGCGAACCACGGGAGTTGAAGTTTTCCCGCGGGCACGGCAGCCGCGCGCTCCCCTTTTGCCCTGTATACGTTTCTTTCGTTCTAAGGATTCGAACAAAATTTGCCCCATCGTGGACGCAGCCTGGGTTTTTTCAAAAGAAGGTGTGAAAAGGGAAGAGCAAAGCAAAGAAAGCAAAGCAAAAGCTTATCGGTGGGGAAGGAAAAAAAAAAAAGAGTGAACAACTGCTACGCAAGCGCACAGAGGGCTCGAAAAGTGGGCGGAGACGGAAGAACACAGCAGCGAGCTGTGTGTTCCCGGAAGTGCCTCCCACCTCCCGGTACGCGCGGACGCGGCTTCCTTACCTCATTTGTCCTCGCCCCTCCCCGTCCCTCTTCGCGTTTTGGTTCCTGGTTGGTGCTTCCTGGTCGCAGCGGCGTCAGTGAGTATGTGTGTGACGGACCCCGAGCCTCCCACGGCCGGGAGACCCTTGCCCGCCCTCCGTCTTACCCGCCGGGCTGTGGAAGTAGCGCGAGCCCCTCGCCGGCCTCCGCGCCCTCCCCGCCACCTCACTCGAGCCCGTGCTCTGCTCCTGGCCCCGAAGCCGCGCGCTGCCCGGCGCGGCTCGGCTGACAGGCCAAGGTGTTCGCGTCTCCCTGTCCCTCCACGGCCTGAGGCCGTCGTTCAGGAAGGGCTGAGCATTGAGGGCCCCTGAAGGGCTGGCTTTTCTGCCCATTTTACCTACTACAGCCCTCCCCCGGAGTTCCGTCTTAGGAAAGCGGGTCAGTGAGTGAAACGCCGACGCTCCGCTGCGCGGGGCGGGAGTCCGTCCTGTGAGGACTTTCCAGTCCTGGGTTAACGCAGCCTCCCCTGTCAGAAGTAACAGCTGCGGCTGTGGGACCAGAACAGTGCAGGAGCTGCGTCCCTTCCCTGATGAAAAACGAGGACACTTAGATTTTGTTCAGTAGCAGTTCTTTTACCGCTCACGTCCTTTACCCCGCTGATGTCTTAAACTTGAGGGAGGTGCTGCTGGCATTTGGAAAAACTGGCTGGGAGCCACACCAAGTCTCCACCGCTGCGTATCTGTTCTTTAGGCCGAATGTACAATTATTTCAGATTTCAGAATTGAATTAGGTACACACCTCTTCTTTAGGCTGAGCTTACGGTTATTTCAGATTTCAGGATTGAATTAAGTAATCATTTAGGACTTTCTTGGCTCATTGAATACAGTTTCTGCAGGCATTACATGAGTGCGTTGTTTCGATAACTTTTTCAAGTCTCTTTAGAACTTTTGATGACAAAGACTGAGAGGACTGTGTCTATGTAAGACATATTAAGGCTTCGAGGACAGATTACTATTACTGTCAAGAGAATCTGAGGGTGTTAAATGAACTGAGGAAGAATTCAACGTGGGGGTTGTGTGGTAGTTACAGAGATAGCACACTACATGGAAAAAGGTGGAGGGCTAAGGGAATGGTGAGGGAAGTGTTTCAGTTAGGGTTACTTCTTCTAAAAAGCATTTATTTATCCCAAGGACAGCTGGGAATTACCTCAGTAAATTTAAGATCCCCTCAGGATTGTGTCTTCCTCATTTTTGTGATCATTGTTTCACACATTTGGATTCTCTACCCCAGTTATATTTGATTTCAAATGGCAGTCACATTTGAAGAATGGAGAGGAATTTGAATGTTACAATTAATTGCGTTGTCAGGGTCACACACTTAAGAGTAAATGAGAAATATTGAGAATAAAGTATGTATATGTCACTTTAGCACTGCAAAGAGAGAGAGAGAGAGAGAGAGAGAGAGAGAGAGAGAGAGAGAATGAGAATGATTATTATATCTAGGGAAAAGATAAAGCTGTGCAAGAACAGAAATATAATCAGAGTACAGGGGCTGGGGATTTAGTTTAGCGACAAAGTGCCTGCCTGGCAAGTGCAAGCACATGAGTTCGATTCCTGGTACCGGAAGAAAACTG